GGCCCCCTGCCCAGCGAGGAGCTCCCGTCGAGGGCCAAAGAGTTCGCCTTTTACCCGGGTTTTGCCAGCTCCTACCAGACGGTCCCCGGCTATTTGGACATGTCCGTGGTGCCGGCTCTCGGGGGCCACCCGGAACCGAGGCACGACGCTTTGCTTCCCATGGAAGGCTACCAGCACTGGGCTCTTTCCAATGGCTGGGACGGGCAAATGTACTGCTCCAAAGAGCAATCGCAGTCGGCACATCTCTGGAAATCACCTTTCCCAGGTAGGCTCCGCTCAGATGCTTGCCTGCTTACTAAGCGCCGGCTAAAAACTACGTCGGGCTTCGCGCATATGAGTGTGTGCGTATATATGTATCTCCCTGTAAGCCTGTATATATAATTAAAGGGAAAGAAATCGCTTTGGAATGCCTCCTGTGCGAGGCAATGTGTACCAACATGTATAGGAAAGAAGGTGAAGCAATCCTTTCTGAAGCAAAATACACGCCATGAGCTTGCTTGGAAAGTAACTTTGCCGTTTAATTCTCCCCTTTCTTCTCCCCTCCCTCTTGTTGCCTCACCTAACAGCGTCTCTTGGTGCGTTTCTCTTCATTTTCTCCTCTGCTCGCCACTTCTCTAGAGCTAACAAAGAAAAAAAAAAGCAGAAAAAATGAAAGAAAAACACCCTTCTCTCTAATGTTTTGCTCCCAAAACGAGAAGCATCTGGTGCTGGTACAGTAAATCACATCGCAGTTACCCACAATTAGAGGAAGAAGTGTCAAGTGACAAATGGAGCTGGTGAGGAGGGGAAGGAGCGAGGCAGAAGGGCTGAGCGCGACCAGCGATACCTTGCCGCCGAGTCGGGCATCCTGCCGCAGTGACAGCCCCCAAACAAGCTACGAAGCCAAAAAAAAAAAACCCAAAAGGCTCAGGACCATATTTTTTTGTTGGGCCACCAAGGGAAGAAGTCATTTAGTCATTTACTGGCCACATGCTACGTTTCCCCTTTGGCCAAGCCCGGCCAGGTCCCCTCCGTGCCCTCCATGGGAGCGAGGGAGGAAGGTGATGGTGCCTCCTTCCTCCTGGCACCTCGCTCCAGCCCCGGGGGTCCCACCATTGGGTGGGGAAGGTCACAGCCTCCAGGATAAAAAAAAACATATGACCACAACACGAGGAGGGAAAAAACCACTCAGTTCCGTGGCCCTCTTGGATGGAGAGCAGGGATGGGTCATGTTAGCCCTGGGTGGGAGGTGCGGGAGGGAACATCGGGTTATTTATTTTACTCGTTTGGGACAAAGAGGATTGGAGGAAGGGGCTTTCTGGGGAGTTTTCTGGGGAAATTTATGTCAGGGATGCCTCTGGGATGGCGAAAAAATGTGGCACTTTTGGATGTAGTGATGAGCATGTGTTTTGGGAGAGGATCTGGCCATTCAAGCTTCATTTTGGGGAGCCCCTAGCCCCATGCTTTCTCTCCCAGCTGCATGCAGCGCTGATGAATGTCCATGAAGGGCATTTCTGCCCGCACCTCACAGCCCATCGTGGGCCTTTTGGTGGCATCCTCAGCACCGGGGCCCCCAAATTTCCCTCCGCTGGCAAGCACCAAAGGCAGCAGCCGCCCCAAAGGTGCTTTTAGGCTCCCGAATTAGCTCATGTCAGCGATGATTGGGCTTTGGTGCTTGCCAAGGAGAGGAGGGAGCGCTCCCTATCCTCACTTCACTTCAGCCGAGTGCCACCCCTGCAGCCAGGGGAGGGTGGTGAGAAGGCGCTGCGGGTGTCAGCAGAGCTCGGGGAGGGGGCTTTGCACCCCTAGGACCAGCTGGGCAGGGGGGAGGATACTCCAGCATCTCTGGTGACCATCTCCCAGACAGTGCCTTCGCGGAGCATGGGGTATCTCCCTCCCTGGGAAAATGGCCCTGGAGGGGAGATTTGAGGGTGGTTTTTGTCCTCTCGAGTGGGGTCTCGGCTGCCCCGACCCCCCAGGAGGGGCTGGGTGCGAGGTGGGCACTTGTCTCCACAGCACGGCCATTGCGGCACACGTCTACGGTGGGTGGGAAAGGTCCTGCGAAAACTTCCTGTGGGCTGCCGAGCAAATAAAAAAGGAGGATAAAAAGAAAAGCAAGAGGGGGGAAAAAAGAGAGGAGAAACCTTATCTGAAATGCATCTACTTGGAAGGTCCCTTCCATTATCTTTGCACATTGAATTGACTCGGTGCTCCATGTTTATTAGAGTAGACAGCCAAGAAAACCGTCCTTTCCCCAACTGAATGTACTAATATTCTCCTCGCTGCCTGCGTTTTGTCTTGCCTTGCTTTCCCTCTCTCTCCTTTTCCCTTCTCCTTTTCGCTCTCCTTTTCCCACATTTTCCTCCTCCTCTTTTTCTATTTTTTTTCTTTCTTTCTTTTTCTTTGCTTCCTTCCTTCTTTCCTTCCTTCCTCGACATGGAGAAAGCACTGTCCCATGCCCTGGGATGAAGTAACAACGCCTCTTCCTCTCTCTCTCTCTTTTTTTTTTTTTTTTTTTTGGCAGACGTGGTCCCCCTGCAACCCGAAGTGAGCAGCTATCGGAGGGGACGGAAGAAAAGGGTCCCTTACACGAAAATCCAACTGAAAGAGTTGGAGAAAGAGTACGCGGCCAGCAAATTCATCACCAAAGAGAAGCGAAGGAGGATTTCGGCCACCACCAACCTGTCCGAGCGCCAAGTGACCATCTGGTTCCAGAACCGGAGGGTTAAGGAGAAGAAAGTAGTGAGCAAATCCAAGACAGCGCACCTCCACACAACCTGACAGAGGACGATTTCAGAAGGGAGGGCAAAGAAAGCAAGCAAGACGCATAAATATTTATCTGGTAGTTGGTCTGACGGCATCATTGGACCTCTGCTGATTGGAAATTATTTAAAAATCGACATTAGGAAATGCACCCCCCCACACACACACAAATACCCAGCGCATCTTTGATTTGTCCCTCTGTCCCATTCGCTGACTGTGAATATCCGGTTCTTGCGCCGAGAAATCCGTTGATGAGGTTCAACTGTGTACATTTTTTAAAATAATAAGCTGAAAGTGTAGTTACGTTAAAGGAGATGAACTCTGAGTGTCACCTTGTAACGCTGTATAGTCCGATCCCCTCTCCAGTGATGAATCTTTCATATCTTTCACTGTTTCACACACTGATGTAAAATGTACGGAGAAAAGAGTTGCAACAGCTTTGTCTTCTTTCGTCTCTAGGGACTGAAAAAAAAAAAACAAATAAGGCTGCTATTGTGGGAAGAAAATCGTTCCTCTGTATCACTTCAAACTAACAAACATTAATTTAGGTCACACACGAAAGTGAGCTCCTGTACAATACTATTTTTGGTCTCTTCTCATGAGGGTTTCTCTATCTCTGCCGTAAAACTGGAATGTCTGCTCTCCGCTGACAATATGGAAAATGCTCAGTATTGTCTTTGGGTCTTGTTTTGTTCCTTTCCCTCTCTAAATCGACTAATTATCAACAGTGTTCTTTCGATATGTAAAAGCATCATTTTTTTAATGTCTTGTATATGTATATAATATTGTGGTGTGCAGATGAGATGTACCGAATGCAGAATACATTTCCTAAAAATAAATACCTTTTTTTTTTTTTTTTTGGCCTGGAGAAAGGGTGGCCGTCAACCGTTTGTGCCCCTCTTTGTACGCCCGCACCCGAGCAGCGCAGCCCTTTATCCTTTTTAATTCCTCCTGGGACCTCCTTCGAGGCGCTTGCTCTTTGCCCAGTTGCAAATACAGCCCAAATTCTAACTTCGGCACAGCAGGTCGCCCGAAGGAGAGGAGACGAGGACCTGAGCCCTGAAGATTTGGGCAGAAAAGGGAAGGAAAAAAAAAAAGGGACCCCCCCCCCAACTCGGGCGAAGGCAACCCAGGAC